TCCCACACCTTCCCCACCCGACTCCCACCACCACACCTTCCACGGCTGAAATACTGACACCACCTCTCCCTCCCTCTGCCATTCATTTCCCCAAAGCCTCAAAACACTAAATTCTGAGGTTTCAGTCTCTATCAAACTGGATTAGACTCTGATGGATACACACAGGGACACAGTGTGGGTATCTACAGTGTGTATATCCAAGATTTCACTGACAGGAATCTTGTTCCTATGGGAAACCAGAGTGACAGAGAGGCAAAGACTCACTGACTAATCGACCTGCCAGGATATTTAAGGCAATAACTTTACAACTTTATCTCCTCATGCAGAGCCTGCATTTCCTTTTCCCTCCCATGTGAAAAGCCTCCCCACTTTATATTTTTTTTTTAAATTCTGGCACTGCCCTAAGTGAAAAGGAGTATTTCTATCCCTCCATCCCCTCACTGTGTCAGCAGGCAGTAAAGGGATAGTGAGCAGGAAGAACATTTCTGCAGAGCCAGTCACCTTCTCTCCTGGCTTCCCGCTCCTTCCGCCTTTCCTCCGCTCGCCTCTCCCGCTCCTTCTGCTCCCGCTGTTCCTTCTGCTGCTCCCGGATTTTCCTCTCTCTTTCTCTCTCCAGTTGCTCCAGACGATCCCTGGAAAATAATTACCCTTTGTTACAAATCCAGCCCATGAAGGGAGGGAAGGCTGGTTTGCTGCAACAAACCCCCGAGCTCAGCTTCACAATCAACAGCAGCACTCGTGTACCGGGCAAACAAAAAAGGATGGAGCTTCTCAGCTGATCCTTTAAAAAACATGTTTTAAAGACCATGAGTTCTGCACCCCTATCAGGATTTCAACAGAAATTAAGCAAGTTCAGGTCATTAATCCCCTAATGTGCAAATCCAGTTTGCACCTTTCCCCTCCCCACCCCCCCTGAATAATTTAGGTTGGAAAAGACCTCCAAGAGCATCAAGGCCGACCTTACAATTATGGTGAAACCCCAGCAGTGAATTCACCTCGGAGTGTCCCTTGCAATGAAGCACTTAAGAGGCAATGAAAGCCAAGAACTCATCCCATTGACACCACATTCCCAGGAATACGGCCCTGGCACCAGGCAAGCTCTCCCTGTGGGTCTTTGTGTCCCCTCAGAGCAATGGTTAGAGATGGGTTAGAGCTCAGCTGGTGGTGTCTGTGCTGGGTGGCCCCAGGGGAGGCAGGGATAGCTGTACCTCTCCCTCCTGGAATGCTCCCTTGCCATCTCTCTCCGTTTCTGTCTCTCCCATTCACGCCGGGCTTTATCCTGCTCTTCTCTATGTCTCTTCCTACGCTCATGCTCCCGTTCTTTCTCTTTCACTCTGGCATGTTTCCCTAAACAAACAAAAGCGAATTTTGGAGTGTTACTAAGTCAGAGTAGGCAGTGCTCCCATTTTCACCAAGCACAATTAGAGAGGGTGAGACCTCTGGGGACCTATTTCCATGTTCTCTGGCGTTCTCTTAACGGGAAAATCCTGTTCTGGAAGGGGCTTGGAGAATCCAAAGATTACAAGATCTTGCACAAATACTTGCATTAAAGTAGAAAATGGCTGTTAGTAGCAGAAAGACAACGTGAATGTTTCTAGAAAGGGTATGTTTTTCCTTTGCAGACAGGTACAAAGATCAGAGCTCTGCCCACTCACTCAGTGAAGCCAGGAGGAAGCTCATCAGACTGGAAGGAGTGAAAATGAACTCAGTGTCCCTGCCCCAAAGTGATTCCTGTCCTCTCAACCACAGTTACATCCCTGTCATTGCCTAAGGGCACTAAACACAGGCAAAGAAATAACAGAAGTTTAAATTCCTTTGTCTTATCCACCTTTCTTTAGTCTGTACTTATTTACTCTATGTGGGGCCTATCTGGCTTCCCCTTGGGAAGCCCCCAGAAACCAGAAGCTTCCAAGTGCAGCAACAACCACCTTCTGCAGAGTGACTTCGGTGCCTGCGCTTCTCTTTCCTCTTCTCATCTTTCCTATGGTGGGTTTTTTCTTTCCGGGACATTTGCTGGGGTGGTTTTATAGCCAAGGAATCATCTTCTTCTCCCCTAAAACACAGCACATGAATAAACTCAGGGAGGTGACAGGTCCTGTCAGGCTGTGAGTTATTTCCTCTTTTCCCCCCTTTTGAAAAGATCCCTGTTTTTATTATTTTATATTCAAGTTGATTTCCATAACAGCCCTGAACCAAAACTGGAACACAACACTCTGTTAAACCTTAACCACTGCTCCAAAAAGTTACCCTCAGAAAGCTACCCAGGTGATTTTCTCATCCTTACCTGTCTTCCATGGAGTCTTCCCTCCTGTAAGGTGAGTTTCTGATGGTTATTTCCATGCGATGGTCTCTCAGCTCCCCCTCTTCAAGAGAATCCCGCTTGGAATCCCTGTCATCTGACTGATGGCAACACAGGCAAGGGATGAAAAAAAATTCAAATATTACTTAAATCTTCCACTGCTGGCTCAAAATCCATCCCCAGTTGGTCACCCCCACTCATCTATAAACCATGTTCATGCTGTAACCAGGCAAAATTATTTTAACCCCATCCTTCTATACTTTTCTATTCTTTGAAAGGCTGTTCCTTGAACTGCAGCTTCCAGTTAATCACATCAACTTATTTACCTTTTCTGACCAAAAGCTATGAGCATAGCACAGTATAAAATGAAAGGCCAATGAAAATGCAGTTTTCCATTAATACAGGCACCGGTTCTTACATTTTTCATACGTTTTATCTCTGCCTTCTCCTCTTGCTCCTTCCTTCGCTTCTTCTCCTGAAGAATTTCATCTAAAGTTTTCACTTTCCAAGAATCCTTTTCATCACCCATTTGAGTTAAAAAAACAAAGTCTGAAAAAGAAGGAGACGTCAACAAAACCCACACAAACCACAAAGTCCAGCACAGATAAATCTGGTTTACACTGATGTGCCAGTGGACACAAAGATAGCAGAATTTATAGGACAGAACTGCCAAGATAAGGAAAAAAATAACAAACCCAACTCAGCAGCTGGGCTGAAATCAGCTCTGAGGGGGTAAAAGGTAGTAAAAATAACAGGTAATTCTAATTTGCCAGAGGGGAAAGCGACCACCAAGTCAGAGACCACTGACCCAAACAGAGACTGAACATGGCAATAATCAGCACTAGAAGTGATAGAATCATCAACCAGCACAAAAGAGAACACTAATTTACAAGAGAACTACGCGACTTATAGCAAATAAACGGTAATTCCTCTGGTTGCTAAGATGTCTAAGCAGCACAAGTTGTGTTAGTTGTGGGGCTCGGTTTATGGAACAGCACCGGGCTAGGAAATAAATAATCAATGTGCCAATCGAGCGTGTCACGACTGGCCTGTTTTAGAGCGGGGAACGGACCCGATTTTTGCGGAAAACCCCTCAAAATTAACAATCCCCCGGGGGTGTTCAGGGCCGGGGCCGGGGGGGCCCAACAGGCCCTCACGGAGCGGTGTCACCCGCGTTGTCACCGCTGCCCGCTCCCCCTCAGCCCCCCCCGGTGCTCCCGGTCCCCCTCAGCCCCACAGGACCCCACAGGACCCCCCAGGCCCTCCCGTGCCCCCCCCTGTCCCCGCAGGGTCCCCTCAGAGCCCCCCGGCCCCACTCACCGCCGCCGCCACCGGGCCTTGCCACCAGCGCGGCTCCAACGCGTCACTTCCGCGGCGGGCGCGGCGATGACGCCGGGGAAGTAATTAAAAAAAAATAAATAAAAAAATCGCTAATGAGCCGTTAGTTGAGCGGTTCGTTCGGCGGCAGCGCGGCGGGCTAACCGCCCGGCTCTGCCCGGGAGTCTCTGGGTGTAAACCCGGCACACAGAGGCGCCGTCACCGCGGGCGTTAATTAATTAACACATAAACCGGTTAAATTCCCGCTGTCCGGTCGAATAGAGAGCGATTTCAAACAAGTCACGGCCAGTACAGCAATGTCGGTGCAGCGTGAGGGAGAACTGACATGAAGTGAGGGGTTCTGAATAGGGGGGCTCATGAGGGGAACGGGCTGAAGGCAGCGCAGGAAAGCTCATTAAATGCTTAATTATCCATCCCTCGCTTCGGCTGGGAAACGGTGACACTGGGGACACAGTAACACCTCACACTTGCACCTCTGCGTCCCTCAGCAAGGCCGCTGTGGTGCCCGAGGAATTAATATCTTAAGGAATTCACATTCAAGGTGCTGTTCCTCTGTATTTGACAGAAGTAAAGCAAATAACCCTCACAGCTCTGGCTCCTCCTCGTCCATGCCTGACTGTGGCTGTGGGAAACGAAGTGAAAGAAACTCTAAATATATCCTAAAAGAGGATTTTCTGGCAGAAACGGAACCGCTGCCGTCACAAACTGGGGCGCGACACTTGCCGTGAATTCTTCCCAGAGAGGAAAACGCTCCTTGTTTGCACAGCAGCAAAGGAGGTTTACTGGTAGGACCGGAGAAGGGAAAGGCCTTCAAAGCGGGCAGTCAGGAGGTGAGTTTGTTTAATCTCATAAAAACAGAGGGCGAGGAGAGGGCACAGAGAAGCACCCAAGGTCAACAAGCGCCGTTCCAAGGAGAACGGGATGGTTGAGCTGCCACAGGGCAGGAGGGGCTCCACTCAGGCCTTGAAATGACAAGTTCCCAAATCCTCCCACTCAAACGAAATACGATGCAAACCACACATTTTTTTTCTCCCTTTTTTTTTTTTTTTTTTTTGGAGCTATACTTTCAAAAATCTCGGCGTACTTGGCAGAAAACAAACAAAAAAAAAACACCCCACCCCACAGAGCTCCACGGCACAGTCCACAGCTTTTTATAAAAGTGACAAAGAGTACAAAAGAAACGAAATACCACAGACACATCACATACAGAATGAGGAAAAACTGGCATTTTCAGGGGAATATGCCCCAGTCAGCAGGCGTGGGAATGCAAACTGAAGTGAGCATGGGACAAAACCAGCTCAGACTCCTGAAACAGCAACAGCTGCTCCAGAGAGGCTCTTGGACACATCTTTTCCACATTCACTGGAATTCCTCACAAGTGGGAATGTAACCATGAGCCTAAATTTCACAGGAACTCTACTGGAAACTTCCTATCAGCAATTATTTTTTACCATAAACACCACTATATCCATGCTACAGTCTTCCAGAAGAGGGGCGATTATTAAAATCAGCTCATTTGAACTGTTAATTATGTTCCCAAAAAGTCCATTTGAATGCTTTTGTAGCTACTTGTGCTTTTTTGTCAAAACTAATCACTAGTCTTGAGAACTTTGAAAAGGAAACATTCAATCTTTGATCTACCACAAAATGGAATTTCCTTTAAAAAAAAAAAAAAAGAAAAATTAAGAGCAGCAGAAATAAAGATTTGCCTCAGTTTGTGGTTAATATTCCTCCCTTCAGTGACCTCTGCTCCACCTGTCACAGATACCTCAGATTATTTACATAATCAGAAATTACACAAATACTTTACACACAGGTCAGAATCATAACCCTGAGTTTCTAAAAGGCAGCATTTTGTTGCACTCTTAGAAATAACACAAAAAAACCATCCATTTGTTTCCTCACAACAGAAATGCATAACAAAATGCAAGAAATTAAAATGGTTCCTTACAGAAATATGGACCTCCTGCTTCCTTTGTCACCGAAGTTTTCAGTGTTTTTTACCTCTAAGCAACTGCAAGTATTTAATTCACCGCTCCACATATGTGCATATGTGCAAATACTTGCACTTCAGCTTTGTCAATGCATGATCAGAGCGAAATTTTAGGAGAAAAATGGGTTTTCATCCTCAGATTTGTAGTTGGAAAACAGCTGCTCGCCACTGCTCTGGGGCACAGACTCACTCCAGCCACACAGACACTACAGGAAGTTGTTTGTGGGGAGAGAAAGCGGTTCCCCCTCGCATCACAGAATATCCTGAGCTGCAAAGGACCATCAGTCCAACTCCTGGCCCTGCACAGGACACCCCAAAAGCCCCCCCTGTCCCTGAGGGCGTTGTCCAAACGCTCCTCGAGCTCTGGCAGGTTTCGGTGCCCCAAAATGCAGGAAATGGGGAGTAACAACCAGGAATTTCAGTTATGCCCCAACTCCATCCCAGTCCAGCAGAACTGCAGCCACGGGCACACGTTGTCACATTCCTCTGATGGAGGGAGGGAGGGAGGCAGGAATTGCTTTCCCACGAGCCACTCAAGTTCTTTCACCAATACAGGCCCGGTCGTTATCTGCAGTCGAGGAAGGACCCCAAAGCCCACACGTAGGGCTGGTGGGGTATCAGTTTCTCAGGACACCCTTCCCAGGTCCTTCCTGCTGAAGGTCCCAGGAGCAAGGGGATCAAGGCTGGCTGGATCCTTCCAGAACTCTCCAAGGACCCCAACAGCATCAGCAGCTGGAGGAACAGCCCCTTTCAGGACGAGTCCCTCTGAGTTACACGCGGGCGGAAGAACAAGTGGCCACATTAATCGTAGGGCTCCAAATCCTTGGGAATCAGCGGCTCTGTGTCCTCTGAGGGAGCCTGTGTGGGCTGGGGGGGGGTGGCCAGGCTGTGCAGGGTCTCCTGCTGGTGCTGCTTGGCCTTGTTGTAGAGCAGGACCCCGATGGTCACCAGGACAGTGCCGATGGCCGAGAGGCTGGTGATCTTGTTCCCGAACACGATGATGCTGAGCCAGATGGACAGGGCGTGTTTCACAGTGCTGGCCACGCTGCAATGGAAAACTGAGCTCAGGAGAAATACCTCTGTCACATCCCACACACCACCTCTGTTTGCCTTCCTTTCCAAACACCAGCTCAAACTCCACTTCCAACCCCAACCCTTCAGTTCTCTGCACAGCCTTTACTGCCCAGTCCTCAAGCAGAACTGCTGAACAAGGAACAAAAGGATGTGAAATGGTGCTCCTGGAGGTTTTACCTGAAAGTCACAGGAGAAATTTTTCCCATCAAGGCATAGGCTGTAACACTCTGGAGGTGGAACAAGACTCCATCTATTAGGAGAAGTATGATGATATCCTGGTTGTAGCTGAAGCTTCTCCCACTTTTCCCAATCACAGGCACATCCTAAACAGCAAAAAAAAAAAAAAAAGAAATTTGAGAGTTTAGTTTATAAGCAAATCTAAAAGTGATTTTCCACCCAACTCATTCCTATTAGAAGCATTTATAGTTTTCCATTTCAATTTCAGCAAAACAAAACCTAAAACATACAAGACAGTTAGATAATATAAATTTCCCCCCTAAAATATATCAGAAAACCAGCTCTCATCTGACTGACCTTCCCAGTGTGCTCAGCCTGTTTGCTTTTTTTGAACACTGATGCACAACAACAAAATGCCACAGTTTCCAGGACACATATTTAACCTGCTATATATTACACTCACTTTAACTTAATTTTGTTTTCAAAGAGTTAATGTTCCTGTACACCACGTGAATATTGACAGAAAGCCAGCAAATATGTAAGATTTGGTTTTCAAGCCTTTATCTAAAACTTCAAATGCACTTGGACAACATTTGTCTCAAAAATCGTGAGATAAACTCGGGCATTTTGGATCAACTCATGCCTGTATTACATTATTTGTTGAAAATCTTCCCTTCCCTTTATAACCCCCTCCCAGTCTCTTGCAAAATGTGAATTCAAATTACCATGAAAAAGATCCAAGCTGGAATGAGCATAACCACTGCAGCAGCACTGGTGTAGAACTGAAGCTCTGGGGCTCTACAGAGGAGGAAAAACGCTGATTAAAATGATTAAAAGCTTCCTTTTTCAAAGCAAAGCCTTTTGTGCTGGCTGAGAGGGACTGAAAGGCCCATATTTTCAAGACCCAACACCTGCATTTTATCCCGTGGCAAAATACATATATATTGCTAAAAACAATTGCTAAATTGGTTTTTTTTTTTAGCATTTCACTCCTGGTTTATGTTTCGTAGCTAAAACATCAGCTAAAACACCAGTCCAAATCCCACCCATAACCGAACCTGAAATATTCTTAATACTTACGAAAATCTGTATTTGTCCCCGCTGAGTAGTTTTTTGGAAAAGACATTCTGCAAACTGGAAAAAAAAAAAAAAAAAGTGAAAAAAATCACCATTTACCTGGATTTCAGTTAGGGAAAAAAAAAATCAGTCAATCCATGAGAATCACAGCTGTTTCCTTCAGGTGGGGAAATGCAAAAAGAAAATCCCTTCCCTCCACACAGAGCTCTCCCCATCCCTTACCAGTCCATGATGTTGGTGGATAAAGCTGCTGAGAAGCCCAGGATGTTGAAGCTGATTTCTGTAGCTGTGCACAGAGCCAGCCCTCCCATCACAGGGATGAGGGACAGATTCACCAGCAATCCTGCAGAGGAGGAGGGGAAAGCTCAGCTCAATTCCTGCATTTCCAGCAGGATCACTGTCTTTATTGTCCTTATAAGGAGGAACATGCTGAACTCCACTTATTTAAGGCCACAATAATATTTTCCTGACACTGCATTAAAATAAACCCTTTTTTTACTTTTATATCTTCTCCTTATTGAGCTCAGGAGGATTCCTCCACCTGAATTCCTTATATTCTGCAGGGCTTTCCTTCCCCATGGCCAGCCAGGTAACTATTAACCCAAAAAAACCCTGAGTAACTAAATAAATCCCATTTCAACATTTCTCACCAGTGTATTCCCCCAGAATCATCCGGGACATGATGACAGTGAAAATGGGAGCTGAGCTTTTCACCGTTTCTGCAAAGGAAACTGCCACGTTCTTCAGGCTCACCAGGCCCAGCACCACTGTTGCAAATCTGCAGCAGAAATGAAGAGGAAAAAAAAACTTCCTATGCATCCAGCACAGAAAGAATTGCACTGTAATTCCAAAGTTTTCAACAAGGCTCAGTAGAAAAAGTAAAAATCTGCTGATAAACGGTAATTCACCGTGGAAGTTTTATCTGCAGTTATCCATCTGCAGTGTAAATTAGATATGCTACCTATTTACTGTAGTTTAAATCATTAAATTAATCTTAATTTATCGCCTATTTGATTATTCTTTATCAGTTTTGCGGTGTAAAGGAAACAAAATCATTTATTCTTATTCTCTCCCAGACCACAAACTGATCCTACCCCAGCACACAGCAAATATTGACTCTTTAAAAGATAAATATTAATAGCCTGGATCCCTTTTGATGCAAAAGGCTGGTAAATACCAGTGCACTAAACAAACATCAGCCTCAAAAGAGAAGGGGAAGAAAGTAAATGGAAAGAGAAGTGTGTTCTGAAAGAAGGTGGGAAGCCAAGGTAGCCAAAAATCTGATTTTTGTGGGTGGAGGGAAAGGTGAATTCTCCAAACACTTTTTAATCAAGAATAAAAAGGCAGAGAGCCACGAAAATACAACTCCTGGTCAGAAAACAAAAACAAAACAAAAACAAACAAACAAACAAACAAACAAACCCCACAAATATTAGTACAGGAAATCTTAGCAAATACAGCCTAGGAAATATTTCCCCATTTACCTCATCAATCCAACAAAGAGCATTATCATGATGAAATTGGGGGGGTAGGAGATGCGGGTTTTGTGCTGGTACAAACAGCAGGGAACAAACATCTTTATACAGCCAATGAAGGTGGTTGAAAGCATCTGAACAGCACCTGGAGAGGATGAGAGGGGCAAGAAAATCAGTCAGAAGGGGCTGGAACTCGACAAATCAAGCAGCCTCAGAACATTTCTTAGACAAACTCCTGTAGTGCTTTTATCCATGACCAAAGTTTCATCTTCCAGCACCTGGAGAAAAGGACGGTGTCAGGAAACCCTTCAAAGGCCAAAATCACAGCTCAGAGTTCCCAGCCCCGAGACCCCTCCCCACACCTCCCAGTCATTCAGCTGAACCCTTCTGTCCCTCCACTTTATCCTGTCAAATCACAGATTATCCTGAGTGGGAAGGGACCCACAGGGATCACCGAGTCCAGCTCCTGGCCCTGCCCAGGATCCCGGCAATCCCAGTAAAATAAATCTACATCAATGTCTTCCTGGCATTCCAGGGCAAAGCAAAGGGGTACCTAACATGCTGGGCTCTCCTTCCAGCAGGGAAAGGATGTATTTGTTAAGAAAAAGAGTGCAAAAGCTGAAGAAGAACCACAAGGTGAGGTAGATGAGAGCGTGGGAGTTCCAGATGCCCAGGTCGGACTCGATGACCGTGGTCTCCGTGATGGTGATCTTGAGGACATTCTCCTCGGGCACGCTGTCACTGCGAGCTATCACCAGCTTCTCGCTCCTGTGAGCAAAGAGGGAGCCCAGCTGGAACAGGGATTTCCCCTTTGGCTTTTCTTCCAGGGCGGGAGGACTCGGTGGCTCCGGAGTCTGAGCGCTCGCCGTGGTCGACATGGTGACGTTAAAGGACCGGCTGTTTGTCCTCAGCACAAACCAGCGTTGATTTAGCACAGCACCTGACTCCCCAAAAAATATCACGTGGTCAAGGCTTCATCTCCCAGGGCCTGCTGGAAAGCTGCACTTGGTCCTCCAAAGAACATCTTGCATAAAAATGAACTCCACGTGCTTCTTCATGTGGCCTGTTCCAGGTTTTCTGCCTAAGAGGGAGAGGAGGAAACAACAAGGATGCTGTGAATGGCATTTTAAATCCCCAGTGCAGCAAAGATACCACATTTCTTCCCGCACTTTGTCAAGGATAAACAGACCTGCGTAGTCTTTCCGGGCTGGATTTATGAACTCCTCACATCATGACATCAAGATCAGGCACCAAGAAGTTATCTAAGGGAAGGGGGTTTTTTTAATTCTAAAATAGCACGTGCGCACACAACAGGCTTTATGTGGCTTTGAGTTCTTTCTCCTCTAAAGCACATCAGCACAGCCTTTCCACTTGTAACTGCCTCCTCTCCCAGTTTCTCCAGTGTCTCTGATCTCAGTCTAAGGTCTGTAACCACTGTGAATTTATCCCTTTTATTTCTGCAGCCTTTGTCTTACGAGCAAGTGAAAATTGGCTGAATCAGATGCAGATGAATTGAGGGACTGGAGCTCTTTTGTTCCTCGGTGAACAAGCACTGGGGGAAATGACATTTTAAATGCTTGTCTCCAGAAGCACATTTGGTGGACAGACAAGACAATGGGCCTTAAAAAGGGATTCTTGTGGGGGGAGTTAATCACTGGACATCTTGGAAAAGCCATCTGAAATGAGATCATAATACTACAGTGCATCAAACAACAGCAGCACAACCAACATTCGATGCCAAGGGAAATACAAGAGTTGTACCAGGAGCTACTGCACCTGCCCTGATTTGGGGAGCATGTGAACACACATTATTTTCTTCAGTTTTTTTTTTTTTTTTGCCCAACGTGGCATCTCAAGTAAATCATAAAGGGGTACTAAAGAGCTAAAGATCTCCTGCCAGTCTCAATATCCTACAGAGCAGCTGCTTTACAGGGAATTTTCCCATTCCTCACGTTCTCTGGTTCTGCTGTTACAGCCAAGCACTGAAGATTTCCATCCCTGTTCCTTTCTCTCCTTCCATTTCCCCAGGAAATCATGACAGCAGCAAACCAAGGTACGAGACCCTCTGACACACTCGTGTTTATTTAAACTCCGTGCTGGTGTTAAACCAGCTCAACACAACACTTTGAAGGAGGAGACACGTTCTCCGAGAGAAGTGGGTAAGAAAAATGGATTCTTGGCTCCTCCTCCCTTTTCAGGTCTTAAAAAAATGCCCCTCTACATTCAAAAGGGTTGGTTAGCACAGCTTTTTCAGTACCTTTTCTGATTACACGACTCAATTAAACCCAAAAGCAATCAAGCACAATGAAAGTCCTACCCTTGGCAGCGCTGGGATATCAGCTTTGATATCACTGATTCCACACATGGCAGGAAGCAGAACAGCAAATAAGAACAGAACTACTCCCCTAAATTACTGACCTGCTGGCTTAAATCATCTGGAAAGTCTAAATGGCCTGAAAGAGTTCTCCATCTGGAACTAATTCAGTCTTCCTCCCTCAAGGCCAACCAGCAGCTGATGTTTACCAACAGCTGAAAACGTGGCAGTGGTTGGCAGTTGTTTCTCTTGGACTGCACACAAAGCCTCAATCCTCCAGCTCAAAAGAACCAGCACCGTGCAGTGCCTTCTCCTTGTATCTCCTCCAACCTTTAACTGCACTCCCAGTCGTTGTATCAAGGTGGAAAACGTACTCCCAGAGAACTCTATGAAGTCAGCTTTACTCAAGGAAAACTAAAGCCCAAATATGCTGCGAGTGCTTAAGGCCGATCTGACAGAGAAAAAACAGAGGCTCGTGTCCATGACCCTTCATCTGTTACACAAGAGGACACCCAAACACTGCCCCCAGCACAGCAAACGGCACAGAATGCAGCAAGCCGGGACTATTAACAGTTTCACTACATTGTAACCATAAAACACAATACCACAACTATTACCAGCTCCCACACAGAGAAGATGCCGAGAGAGCGAAACGGCTTCAAGACTTTCTCGCATTCCAACGCTATTTCTGGTCACCCGCTCACTCCTAGAGCCTTCCCTGCCCGTTCCGAGCCAGCCCCGCGCAGGCAATTCCCGCTCGCCTTCCCGTCCCCGCAGGGCATCCGAGCATCCCGAGCATCCCCGGCACAGGGGCTGCACCGCGGCCTTTCCGCCCGCTGTTCGGAGACCTCCAGCACCCACATCCCCCTCCCGGGGCCGGCCGGGGATGCTCCTCTCCGTCAGCGCCCGCTCTGCCCGCCCTCCTTCCCTGCCCTCCCTCCCTCCCTGCCGGCACCTGGGGGCTCCCCGCGGCTCCGGCACACCCGGCATGCGGCTCCCCGGGGATGCGGATCCCGGGACGCGGCTACCCATCCCTTCCCGAGCCGCGGGCGGGGAGGCGGGTCCGGCCCTGCCCCGCCCCGCCGGGGCTGCCCCGGGCACCGGCCCCTTTGTCACCGCGGCCGCCCGTGGGAGGCCATTTTACCGACCCCGCGAGGAAATGAACCGGAGGAACGGGGCGTGGGGAAGGGGGGTGGGTGGGTGGGTCACGGGGGACACGCACAGCGAGAACCGCGCCGAGCCCCCGCCGCGCCGAGCCCTCCATGGCCCCGGGGGCGCGCGGGGCGGGATGCGGGGCGGGATGCGGGGCGGGATGCTCGGCGGCCCCGCCGCCCGGGAGGGACCCTCGGGAGCGCTGCCCGGCCGTGCCGGGGAAGTGACGTGCGGGTGTCCCCCGGAAGAGCTGCGGGGGCCCCTCCGCAGCCATGTAGGTGCCGTCAGAGCGGGGCGGGAGCGCGGCCCGGCCATGGACGGCAGGTACGGGCGGCACCACTCGGGGAGGTGGGGGGGGACCCACCGCGCTGCCCATGGCGGGGCAGTGCCGGGGGTGGGAGGGTGCGGGCGGCCCCCCCCCGCGGGTGAGTGGTGCGGTCCCGTGGCCGTCCCGTCCCGTTGTGTGACCGTCCCGTCCCGTTGTGTCCCCACAGCGGTGCCGCGACCCCGGCGGGGCCGAGCCTGCCCAACCTCACCCCGCGACACCGGCAGCTCATCCCCACGCCCTGCGGGCCCGTGAGTACCCACGCCCCGCGGCACCGCGCACACGCACACCCACCTTCTGATAGTCATAGAATTATGGGATTCCCTCCTGAGCCGGGAGGGACCCACAGGGATCATCCAGTCCGACCCCTGGCCCTGCACAGACACCCCAGCAATCCCACCCTATCCCTGAGAGCGCTGTCCAAATGCTCCTTGAGCTCTGGCAGCCTTGGGAAGTGACCATTCCATGGGAAGTGACCATTCCTTGGGAAGTGACCATTCCATGGGAAGCCTATTCCAGTGCCCAACCTCCTTCTCTGGGGGAAGACCCATTTTTCCTGAGATCCAGCCCGACCCTGCCCTGCCACAGCTCCAGCCGTTCCCTGGGGTCCTGTCCCTGCTCAGAGATGGGAGCAGAAATCTGGGAATGTGTTGCCTGCTGGACACCTCCATGTATATCTGTGGGCATCGGCAATCTCCAGTCCCAGGAGATGGGATTACAATGCCATGACCTTTGTGAGGCAGAAAGGCTGGAGGTACAAACCAGGGCAATCTTGGCTGAGATTAATTATGCAATAAAGTCAGACTTCCCCCTTCCTCAGCGATTTTGGAGTTTCAATTCAGTTGGAGAGTTTCTCTTCCTTTTCCCAGGGTAAAACCCTGCCCTGCCTCATTTACCCAGCTTGCCCCGCTGTGTTTTTTAGGAACAGCACCGAGTTTATTCTGCATTATGCCCTTGCTTTGCAGATAAAGCCATGTTCAGAGCTCTCCTTCCCTGTCAAGATCTACTTCTGTGTCACTATTGTGTCCCTGCTGAGTGTCATAGGGCTCACCATAGAGACGCTGGTCCGGCAGACCGAGGAGGATTTCACCATTTCCTTTATCCAGTTGGTTGGACTTGGTAAGAAACTGTTGGGGTTTTGAAACAAATACTTTTTTTTTTTTCTTCCCCAATGTATAATTAAGCAGCAACTGAAGTTTCTTACGTGAGAGGTGCTGAATGTTCAGCTGTGCCAGAAAAGCCTCCAGTTCCCATTTTAATGTCTGATCTCCAGCAAGAAAATGTGAAGGCATCTCTCTGTGCTAAGTTCCTGCAAGGATGTTGCTTCACCTGAAGTATTTTGTTGAAATAAGAACCTCATTTTTAAAAAAAAAAAAAATCTCCTTTTTGTCTAATATTTTTCCCCCCACTGGAAGCGAGATCCAAACTTCCTTGGGTATTTCCAGTGAGAGCTTCAATAGAAACTTGTTTTCATATTCTTGGGTCCATTTGTGTTAAACAGAAATTACCACAAAAATAACAAACTATTTCAGGAAGTGGCTTTAGCAGGTCTTGGCTGCCAAAACAGCGTGAAAAAGGAGAGATTGTGGGTGTAACACAGTCCTTGCCTTGCAGCTCTCACCCAGAGGGAACGAAGACAATAGCTTTGTTCCAGATTCTATAATTAGACAAATCCCAACAATGCTTTAATTCCGAACCTCTGATTTGACGAGCAGCTTTTCACACATCCCAGCACGAGCTGCAGTGTTAGAACAGCCTGAAGAACCCTCAGAATAAATCAGATCAGTCACAGACCTGGGAAGTTGAAGCTGCACTCGCCCATCTGTTTTTCCTCCAACCCATGTTTTCTGTGTGGTAGACAAAGACTGACAGAGCAGGTGTTTCTTTAAAGAAAAATAGATTTTACAGCCGTGGCTGTAACAATCTCTTGGATTTGCAATTTAATTTAAACTGGGATTAGGGGGTTTAATCTGTTGAAAAATGTTAACCCCCCAAAAGCAAGGGGTGTCCTATATTTCAGAAACCACCTCTGCAAAAAGCCTGACAATCAGAAAAGGGTTCATTTCCAAGTCATTTGTACAGAGTTTCTTTTGATTGAGCAGATGACTTTGCAAAACAAGGAAGTGCTGTCTTAAGTCTCTGAGGTCAAGAGCAAGTCCCAAAAATCCCGTGATTCACTTTGTAATCTGCCAATCATTTTCCACTCTGTCAGTCCCTGTTAATGGCAGTGGAAAAGGAAGTTCAGTCACTGAAGGTTTGTTTGGAGACTCAAGTTACTGTGTCCCTTTGAAGACTTGGACAACACTTTGTCCCCATGTCCCAGCCTTGCAAAAGGGGGGGGGGATTTTTTTTACGTGTGGAATCCAGGAAGCAGCACTCTGGAAAAAGAAATCCATTGTTACTGTGGCTGTGGGAAGAACCAACCAGTGTTTGCAGGAGCATCCTATAAAAGAACAAAGCCTTTTCCTTATTTCAGCTTTGCCAGGACAGCACAGAGTTCACAGTGGCAGGTGACTGAGGGGCTTGATGTATTTTATGAAAGTAGAACCTTTTTGATTATTTTGCAGGGTGTGGTGGTTCAAAATTTCCCCCATAAAGATAAACTGAATCCACTCTGTCCAGTTCAACACACAAACCACGTGCAGTGGCCAAACAACGCTGCAGAGGAGGGTGTGTGTGAGCAGCAAACTGCCTGTTAGTCACCTGAACTTCCCTCCCTGGGAAGATGATGTCATCTCAGTTCTTTAACAAAAATGGAGCTGCTTCATTTCGTTCAAATATTCCATTGGACATAATCAGTGTGGTGTTAATAGATTAACACAGCCCAGCTGCCAGTTTGGGTGGCTGATACACTGCCCTTGGCAAAGAGGGGAATAAAAAAATCTAACTGATGGTTTAAGTTCTGGGGGAGAGGGTTTGAAGTCTCTGATTCAGCCTCCTTGGTAGGAACAAAGGCTGTGTGGACTGAGGTTCTGAGCAGGTTTTTGGCACCCAGCTGCAGCACACTGGGAGTTCTGCTGGTGTTCAGAGAGTCCTTGTGCCCCCAGTGTTCTGTGTGTACTACGTGAGCCGGGGGATCCTGCAGGAGAACCGCCAGGAGCTGATGGTGTTCGTGCTGTCCATCCTGCTGGTGATGCTGCGCTCCGTCACCAACTTCACCGTCCTCCCCGCCGAGCAAAAGCCGAAGCTCCTGGTCAGTCCCCTGCTTTTCTCACTCGTTTTTGCCTTCTCCACGTGCTGGGGGTGAAATTCCACAGGTGTCAGAGGACTGCACAGGGTTACTGCAGAAAACTTCTCCTGCTCTGCTTCAGATTTCCATCCGTAAAACATCAGGCCTAAAGTCACGTAAATGTAACCTGTGGATAGAACTGGATCTGTCCAGAGGCACGGACACAGCCATTAGTGCTCCATAAACACAGCCTTGTGTTTTTATGAGATTTATGGGAACCTGCTGCAGGGAAACAAGAGACACAGCAAGCTGGGGGAGATCCTTTCATTGCAGATTATCTTGTTTGCACTTCACAACAATTAAATGCGATGCAAAGATTTAATTCTGTGCCTTGCTGAGGTCTGGAGTTAAATTTCCCCTTGCTGTGCTTCCCAGGAGTCCTTCCTTTTTTATCACATATTTATCACAGATGGGAGGACGAAGTTGCTTGCTGTGAAGTCACCCAAAAATTATTCTTCAGTAGGAGAGGTGGCAACCCAAGTAGGAAGGTGGAGCAAAGGAGAATTTTCCAGTTTAGTTTATCTGTGAGTTGTACATAAAATTAAACAGGCTTATCTGCAGCCAAGTGGGTTGTTTGGGTCAATAAGGAACAGGCATCAAAGGGGAGCAGGTTGCTTTAAGATGTGCAGCCAAGTCATCAGTTTATATATTAAACAAGAGCCTCAAAGTAAAGCCTGCTGGGGAAGATGTGAAGGGAGCCGTGAAGGGCTGTCTGTTTTACCAGCTGAACAGTAACTTGGGTTACTGGAACTCCTGCTTCCTGAGCAGGAATGATTTCTGGGGTAAATATTCTCATAGCAGTGGAGTCATGAAGGGTGTCACTCACACTGCCCTGCTTTGCCCTGGCCAGTGCCATCCTTGTGTCTGTCCCCTCCAGGCCCGCTTTGTCCTGATCCTGCTGGTTGGCTCCTTCGATGTCATCTGTGCCATCATCCTCATCCAGAGCCAGAGCATGATGGCATTCCGGGTGGGGGGTGCCCTGGAGAGCCTCCAGTCCCAGTACTTCATGCTCAGCCTCTGCTTCTCCATGCTCACCTTTGATCTCCAGGCACAGGTAAACAGCTCTGGCCCCCACATTCCCCTTTTTTCCCCCCTTATTAATAATTAGTTGGGCAAGCTGAGCTAATTCTGAACTCCCCCAGCAATTCTGGCTCTGTCTTACCTTGTAATGATGCTCAGGTTTCTATAGGGGGGCTCAGTTAAAATCCATAAAAATGAATCAACGCGTATTTTATCATTGTCCTGCACAAAAGGAGAACTGAAACTCACTTTTGGGAAGTTTATCCATAGCAACAGTTCCATCCAGAGGTTCCAGCCCACCCACAGCCTCCTGAAATAAGAAAGGTTATTCCTGCCCAACATCCCAGCGTGTCCTGCACTGGGGGAAGGGATCCTGGGCTGGGAGAGGAGGCTGCAGGGTCTCAAAGCAGTGACTTCTCCCCATCTGTGCCCCTGCCAGCTGTGCCTCTGCATCCTGCTGATCAGCCTGCACAAGATCACCCTGGTGCACAACATCATCTCAGCCACGGGGGCCCTGTGGGGCTGCCTGAAGGTCACCGTGGGCATCGTGGCGGTGAGTGCTGAGCTGAGACCCCCGGGGAAACACCCTGAAGGGGCAGATCCCCACCCTGAGGGGGCAGATCCCCACCCTGAGGGGGCAGATCCCCACCCTGAACAGTCACCCCAGCCTGGGGAGCCACAGCCACCCCCTTTCACACCCCCCTGCCATGGGGAGGGGGCCAGGGTGGAGAAAACCAGAGCCCCAACCACGCTCCTAAAGCTGTGCCTCACTCGAAAGGGTGGAGCAATGTCACCTTATCCTTCTTTTTGTCATGTTATCCTTCCTTCTAAGGGACATGGTTTTATTCTCAGTCCTTGATCACCTACGTAAATCAAACCTGTAGGGTCACACTTCGGTGTTTGTGCCTCTCTGACAAGGTTGGGTGAAACTGGGAACAGTCCTCCAAATTCCTGGGGTTACACAGACACAGGGAGACTTCACAGGCCTTAAACCCTTGGGACCAGAAAGATGGGTGGTCCTTTAGGAGGGGCACCTTCTTCAAAATTCGGGGACCGTGTCCAGGTTAAAGTGAGGATTTGTGAACTTGAAATGTCATTTTTCACATCAGTCAGACTGAACTTCCTCTGAAGTCTTGAGACTCTGTTCCAAGAGTGATTGCAGAATCAGGGCCAAAGTACATCAGATATGTGAGTCTTTTATGACCAGGAAGGAGTTTAGGGTTTTTTTGGGGGGAGGGGGAGTGGTGAATATTTTTTTAGGCTCCTTGGCTGTTTGCTTTGCTGTTCACACGAATTCCTGGCAGCTGAAATGCAGCTCTCCAATTGTTTTGATGGCTTTCCTTGCTAAAAATGGAGGTAGCACCAAGCACTGTGCTTTTAAAAAGCTTTGGTAACTCAGGTAACACAGAATCACCTTTCTCCTAATCAGAACAGTGCCTGGAGGGCAAAGTTACAACTGAGAGCTCAGCCTGACCGACACTAGAAATGCCACTGAAAAATCAACTGTTGGGAGCTTTCACAGAGTATGTAACGAGGAGTTTTACAGCTGTGTGTATGTCTTGCCTCATTCTACAGATTCTGAAGGAGCTGAAACCCCTGGTGTGGGTTTTTCTGCTGCAGAATGTCCCTGAAGTGGTGTATCTGCTCTACCTGCTGTACACGGTAACACTCACCTGGGTGGGAGCAGGAGGGCTGGGGGGGCTCCTCCAAAACATCCTCCTGCTGGCTCTGAAGAGAGCAGCAGGCACCTCCTGCATCCTCAGGATCCATTCTTCAGTTCAGGAACCATTTCAGAGTGATCTTGAACTGGTTGGTCACAGGGAGAGGCTCTAGAAAGTCTCTGGCAAAGTGTCCGGAATAATTAGGGAAAAATGCACCACAATCTCCCAGAACAAGAGACAGAGCTCCTCAGAAATGCCTCCCTTCCTTCACAGGGTCTCAGGGGGTGCCAGAGCGTTTGAGCAGTGGCTCAGCTGATGTGTTTTAAAGGATTTCTTAGGCAGCACCCCCAGCTGTTGATCTGCTGTGGCCAAAACAAGCCCACCCAAGCCATTTATTTTGGCACTGGAAGGGTGAGAAAGCCTTTCCCAGCACCTCCCCCGAGGTGGGAAAGGAGGCAGGGAGAGAGAAGGGCAAGGGCAGAGCGGGACACTTCACCCTCCAGCTTCCAAACAGGAAAATTAAGTTTAAAAGTGACCACTTTGGTTTTTTTTTTTTCTTCCCCCAAATTCCCCTTCTCTCAGAAATTCGGGGCTCGATTGCATCTCACGGCTTCCAGGTTTGGGGTGTTGATTGTTTTACCGTCCCCATTTTCCTGCAGGTGATCAGGGAGTGGGGCAAAGGGAACTCCTACACTCTGGAAGCTGCTTTCATCACCGGCTCCTGCATTTCTGTTGCCATTAAATCTGTGCTGTTCTGGGCCCTGCTCCACGTGTACCGCAGCTTTGGGCAGGGGCTGAGGGAGAGAAGTGAGTACTCAAAGAGCTGCCTGGGGAGGGTTGTGGCCCCTCGTTCCACAGGGAGGTGGAGAGGCAGGAAAACAGGGATAGCCCCGGTGAAAGGCACATCCTGAGGGCATCAGGCACTTCAGCAGCCTCAGAGCTCACTGGGCTGAGCAAGCTCAGGAGCTTGAGAGGAGCACGTGTGGCTTCTCCCTGAGGAAAAGCTGACACTGGTTAGTTAAAATTGCTGCCAACTTTGCAGGGAATGCTGGTATCCAAAAAAATCAGGCCTGGGTGGAAAACTCCCTCAGATCCATGTGATTTTTCTAATCGTGCTGTATAAGAGCAAGACACAGAATAAAGGGACCCAGAGAGCTACAAATCCTGAGCAACCCAGAGCTCCTTGGGCAGGAGGGGCACTGTGAGCGTTGCTTTGGTGCTGACTGACCTTCCTCTCTGCCCACAGTGTTTTCTTCCTATGGAAGGATCGACTCCTGAGCCCCCCCCGTGCTCCCCCTGCAGCTCCCACGGAGTGAAGGCACAGCAGGGACCCTCTGGCCGAGCACCGAGCCGGGGGGGTGAATCTGGGACCACCTGCACGGGGGCTGGGGGCAACGTCACACATTCCTGGATGGGGCTGGAGAGCCCCAGCAGGGCAGCTGGGATGGCTCAGACAGCTGTGGCAGAGCAGAGCAGCTCCCAGTGCTGCTCCTGCTGCTGTTTGGAACCACGGGAAGGTGTGTCCTGGGCCAGCACAACCCTGCTGAAGGTTCTCTGCACCCCTCAAACACACAGCGGGTCTGGGGGTGCCCTGTCCTGCCCTCACTGCTCAAGCTCAGGTTGTGGTGGAAGGTCCAGCCCTGCTGTGTTTGGTGATGGCTGTTCCCTGCCTTGGGATCTTCTTCCCCCTGGGACATTTCAGTTCCTTGTTTTTCAGTCCCAGCTCCACCTGCAGCAGCTCCTTCTCATCTCCTGCCTCCCCCTCCAGTGTCTCCACCCACCGTGCCATCCCACGCCAGGGGGGCTGTCACAACGAGCCTTTAATATTGTAATTAAAAGTTTGCTATTTTATTGACTGCAACCTTTAACTACTGGCTATTTTTAAATAAAGCACAAGCACAGCGTGTGTGTGTGTGTGTGTATAATTATTTCACTTAAACCAGCATGAACTCAGTGGGAAATCTCACAAGTAAATAAATATATAATTATTATAAATACAAACGTAAATTTAAAAGCCCTATTAAAAATTTATATTTTTCTCACCCCAGTCTCCTAAATTTGAGTCAAATCTACATTACAGGTGGCCAAAGGGGGGGCATGAAGGGGTTAAGTTGCCTGGCCCCAGCTGACAGAGCAGCAGCTGATGGCTGTGACTTCATCCCACAAGTCAGGGGGACTGTGAATTGTTGCTGAAATGGAGAAACACAATCGGGCACATTCAGGCCTTTTGTGCAGCAGGGCCTGCCCAGAGCAGGAGCAGGAAGGGAAGGCTCTGATCTTGCACAAATCAGGTGAAGAAAAGGTGTTTTATGCAATAAAAAGAGATGTCCCTGTCCCATGAGACAACCCCCCCCCTGGACATCTGCTCCCCAACCAACCAACTGGCTGTTCTTAATTTTCCCTCCTCCCCCAGCCCAAGTGCTGCTGGACAAATCCAACTTTACAAAAAGATTTTATTGAAAGGATTGAAAAATAGTTTTGTCTTCAACAATATTTTTAAAACGAGTTCTCAATGCGTTAACAATATGTAACAGGATTTTTTCAGCTTTTAAAAATTCAGTACACACTGCTTTGCTCCGTGCTACACAGTTGTTAATGACTTCAATTTCTACCAGAGGATAACTTTAAAAAAAAAAAACAACCCAAACAAACCAAATTCATTTCCCAGCTTCCATTTTTGGCCCTTTGTAGAGTGGAAAGGATCTGTAGGTACAGGGACACCCACAAACCCCTCTTGCTTTAGAAACTCCTCATCAGCAAAACCCCTATTTGTGGTTTGTTTTTTTTTTTTTCAGTACAGTTTCAACAAGTTAATCTGAACGAGCTACATCAGCAGAATGAGGTTTTATTGCCAACAAACCGAGTGTGCATTTACAGCTTTTTTTTTTTTCCTTTTTTTTTTTTTCCCCTGGTTCAGCTCTGAGCCAAAATTCCCCCCCCCCAGGACAGCAGTTGGATGTGAGAGCCCCAGGGCTGCTCAGGAATGGCAGTTTGTGGATGAAAAGCCTCGAGAAGGGCCTTGGAACACTCAGGTCACTCTGAGCAGTTGGGATAATTGAGGCCAAGGCAGCTTTGGGAAGGGAAATCAACCCAAAAAACCTCCTCAGCACCAAGAGCTTCTCCAACCAAAACTGCAGCAGCCCCAGAGCCAGCAGTGCAACTGCAGTGAGGGATAATTCAAAGAAGAAATCCAAAGCCAACCCCTAAGGTGGGTCTAAAGTAGTTCAGTACACTCTGATTACAGATTCCATGACCTGTGCACTCTGAAAATCAAAAGTCCGGCCACTTAGTCAAGAATAGCTCTACTATTATAAAAAGCATAAATAAAAAGTGCTGAATATAGTTTTATCTTTAAAAAAATACTAGATAAGGCTCATAAATCATCTCACCTTGCCTCTGCAAAATGATTCCCGCTTCCCAGTGTGCCTGGAACTCCACTCCTTCTTCCATCTCACCACACATTTTTCCCCATCCCCTGCTCCTTCTCTCAATTATTGCATGTTTAAATAAAATAGTTTCAAAGCAAAAAGCCTGACACTTCTAATAGTTCAGAAAGTAACCAGTTCTCAGAGAACTGGATACTCCACCCAGGAAACCCGTAAGCAGCTTCAAAACAGTGATAAAACAACTACTGCAGATCCAAGTGGAAGGGAAACCCCCAGAGCTCCCCTGGATAATTCTCCCAGGTACCACAAAAATCCGTCTGCTTAGACCAAATCAACCCAAGGTTCTATTTTACAACATTTACAAACCCAGTCTTGGTTTCTATTGACACCCTTTCACTGTGATTCGAACCATTCACCAAGAGTTTGCTTCTCTTTCATGGAAAAGTGCTCTCAGCTGCACTGAACGAGCTCAGGGCAGCCTCCAGGACATTACTGAGACCATCAGAGGACAAGGGGTCAGGCAGGGCTGGGAATGGCAATGGGAACGATCCCCATCCCCGCTTTGGACCACGGGAACGACGTCGAGGCGACCACGCAGAGCTCGTCACCCCCTTTCCAAGGAAACCCAACCCCAGTGCGGGGCTGTGCCCTCCCTGAACAGCCCCTGCTCCTTCAGAGACCCCCCAGCCAGGCTGAAGATGGGTGATGATGGTGATGGTGAGACTGCACCACGGAGAACAGAAATGTAAACATCCCCCTGGGCTCTGCTGCCTCTCAGCTGAAACCCAGAGCAAACCCTTTATCCCCCCCCAAACCTCCCAACCAGTTCTGCCGTTGGGCTTTTTTGTTTTTTGTTCTTCCATAAAAGCACAGAGAGAGTAAAATCTGTCCAGAGAGAGCAGTTATAGAAACCTGGGAAAGCATCTCAGAAAAGGAGACAACGGGGCTTGGAATAACCTTGAGTGCTGAAGGCACCGTTGCTGCTCCACTGGGAATGTGTCCTCTCCAATTCTCCAGCCACCAAAAGCAGGATCCCATCCTGTTTTACTCAGCACCAAGAGCTGGAAGGTATCCATGGAGGGCATTGTAGGATATTTTCTTCCAGACAACAGTGGAACTAGACAAGATCGTGGCAATTGAAGTCCAGATTCTTCCTGAACACCTGGAGGATTTTTTTTTTATTTTTAAAAAAAAAAAACCCATGATAGTCTCTAATGCTATTCCAGGGAATCAAGCAAAAAGTAATTAGAAAAACACAACACATGGGTGATTCCCACCAGCAGGAACTGCAGAGCTCCAAAGCAGCTCAGCTACAAAATCAGAGATACCTGCAATAATTAATAATATTTGTGGGTATTTCCACAGTGCTGACAGCCAAGGGTCAACCACTGTTCAGGAGATACAAATGCACACATAAAAAAATAGATACTTTTTGTGCCAGTTCCACACCTATCAATAAAAAACATCCTCCATGGGTGTTTCTTCAGTGAGTCACATCTGAGAGCAAGAAAGTGCTTTTTGGGCCAGATGTGTTTGGGTTAACAAAGAGGAGATTACCTTTTTTTTTTTTTTTTTTTTTTTTTTTTTAAAGAAAGCTTCTTCGAGCCTTTATATTCAGAGCAGTGTTAAATGGAATTATAAATATACCGAATAAAACTGGCTGTTTTGATGCCACTTCCCTGGGGTGTGTCTACATTCAGCCTTACCGCTGCCAGTGGCGAGGGAGAGGTTACAATCAAAGCTGCAGATGGGGCTGTGGGAAAGGATCCGTTTTCCAGGAAGGGAATTCCCACCGGATCACAACGATCAAAGAGCCCAATTTCTTCCATTCCCAACTCTTGGTCGGTGCAGGAAGGAACACAATTCCCAGCCACGGGACCTGCCAGCTCACAAAGCACAGCCCAGCAGTGCAGGCCCACACGCCCGTGGCCAAAGCCCAAGCAGACAGAAGGGACGCTGCCACTCTCCACTCCCACGGGGCTGGGAGATGGAGACACTCAAAACTCCTCCTCCTCCACGGCAAAGTTGTTCTGCTTCTTCCTCACGTTCCAGTGCAGGCACTCGGCCAGGCTCTCGAACCAGTCGCTCACGGGGTCTCGGAAGCAGATGGAAGGGAGGGGGTAGCAAGAGGTAGTGATGCTGATGCTGCAAACAGCACAGGACAGCTGTCAGGTGGGGCAGCAAACAGCACTCTGGGCAAAAACCAACCCACTGCTGAGCTAACACAGCCCTGCAAACACCAAGAGCTCCCCCTGAGCAAGGCTGAGGGGGTCAGGGTTCATAAATGTTCCTTCACTGGCAACAACTCCTTTACAGGTGTCAGAGAATGAGGGAACTGCGTGGATCAGGGTTTTCTATCCTTAGAGAGATTACAATCAAACAGTAAAAAGGCCTGACCTGTCTCCATGGCATATTTCCTGCCTCTTCCTCCCATCAAAGGAAACCCAGGCCGTGTTCCTGGCATCGGGGGAGAGCATGATCTGAAAGAGAGACAGGAGCTCACCTGCAGGTCCAGAGCGTTCCCAGGCACATTCCCACGGGCATTCCTTCCCTGCCCACAACATTTATCTATTTATCACAACGTTTGCATTTGAAGTTTTTAGCTCACAAAGAGAAATGAGAGCGAAGGAGCCGACCTTGAGTTCCACGCCAGCAGGAACCACGATGGGTCTGAAGGACAGGGAGTGTGGGCAGATGGGGGTGATCATGATGGCAGGAACGTTGGGATGGATCATGGAGGCTCCTGCTGCGGCTGCATACGCCGTGCTGCCCGTGGGGGTGGACACAATGACCCCTGGGAGGGACAAACGGGCACTGCATCAGCACCACAGTCATTGTGGCAGGCACAGGAGATCCCAGAGTTGTGAAAACCAAGCTGGTGTTCCAGGGCAGGACTGCAGCCTGGCACACACAGAAAGGAACTCCCTTTTAATCCCCCCTGTCCTGAGCTCTGGGGATGTTGCACAAAGCTGTGCATCTCGGGTTACAGGTTTTGTAACAGTGACTCTGGTTTTTTTCTTTCAGGGGTAGGAGCTTTGCAGGTGAACTCCTGCAGGCCACCAGCTGGGACTGTTTGCCTTCAACAAATCCCAGCCATCCACGCCAACCCTTCCTGAGCTGTGTCTTGCCTTCAGCCCAAACATGTGACACCCAAAGAAACTGCCACTTGCCTCCACAAGCCCACAAGCAAAGCTTACATCACCCTAAAGACTCCCTGGGGGACACATCAGTCACCAGTGAACAAACACACCAATTCCTTGCATGCTCATCTTTGCTGCTCAGGTGAACTGAGGCTGGAGATTTTGTCTCCACGTGAGAGAATCCTGCAGTTGAGTAACCCCAGTCCCCAGAAGAGGGAGGGGACTGAGCTCCAGACTCACCATCTCCCTGCACTGTGGTGATCAGGTGTCCATTCAGAAACACATCCACGTTGGACAGGTAGGAGGAAGGGCCACGATCCACCACGACCTCGTTGAGGACCTGCCACGACACCAAATATTTAACCCAGCCTGGGTCTGCTGCCCTGGCAAGGTAATGAGGGACAAAGGGAAACAGCTTTCCCAGACCTCTGGAAAATGCAGGCTGATTTAGCAGCTGCCAAATCAGACTCTCTTCACTTCTGTTGTACCAAGTGCCAGCTGAAGCCTTTGGATGTTATGAGTCATTTCCAGAAGATGCTCACTAACGGTTTGTCTTTTCATTTATTAACAAAATCTTTGCTGTATCTCACTTTAGAACTGCTACTTCTGTTGTCAAAACAGAAGGAAGGTTGGACTCCACCCTGGAGGTCTTTCCCACCCTAAGTAACTCCGTGACTTCTGTGAAATTATTGCCAAAGCACAACAAGAGCAGATACGGGCAACCCTCCCTCCTCCCTCAGTGCCCACACCGAGTTAGAGCAGCCCAGATCACAGTGCTGGGACACAAAACAATCACCCAGCAACTCAAACCCAGCCTTCAGCCCCGTTGCCTGCTGTGCCCCCTGACCTGGTACTGCATGACTTGCTTGCCCCCTTCCTTCTCCAGGCTGGCGGGCACGACCCCGTTCTCCTCGATGCCGTTCGGGACCGCCGCTCTCTCCCTGTGCTCCTTCACCACCTTCACCTTGAGCCTGCTCCTGAGCACCAGGGCTGCATTGCCTGGGGTGGGGGAGAAGAGGATTTTTGAATTTGATTTTTGTATGGGTGTGATGAAGACTGGAAAACGCTGCTGGGCTCGTGTGATCTTCACCGAGACCAGAGCCAAGCGAAGCAAAATCAGAGCGGGAGAAACGTGTACTAAAAGGCAACATTCCAGGAATGTGGGGATTTTATACATCCCTTTTTTTTTTTTAGGAATCTACTTTGGGCACAACTCGATGTCATTTTGAAGAAATAAAGTACTTTTTATTTCCTTAAAATATTTTATGTTGGCCTGACTCGTCAGTTTTTAAACACTGCACTGCCTAGAGAACTGGTACAGAAAAACATAACAACAGAAACCCCACCCCTTGTCCCCTTAAATTTACCTTCTATAACCTGAGTGACTTGGGACTGAAAATTCTCGAAATTAAAGGGAGTGAGAAATCCAAGGGATCCCAGATGAAAAGCCATAACTGGAGGGACGCTGCCCTATCAACAAAGAAAAGAATTTTAGAGCCACTGAATCAAAGCAATTCACACCTCAGCTCATTGCTGTAAATAAATTTTGACTACTGATGTAACTGTGCTTAACAAAACCAGCACATTCTACATCATTTTCAGGAGGTAAAACGGGTTTGATGGCAAAAGGAACGATCAGCAAAGGACAAATGCGAACTCGGCACCAAAGGGGGAAAAACCCTCTTTCAAATGCTTCAAAAAGGAAAGGTTTTCAGGTCTGCCTCCCACAAGGACCAACCTGGAAAAGTGAAGAAGCATAAAGTAAGGTCCCATCTCCTCCCAGGCAAATGATAAAGTCTATCTGATTGGAGATATCATCGTAATCTGGAAGCAACAGAGAAACACAAGCTCTGAATTCATTAAATTAACTCCTCTTCATCCCCCAGCTACAATCAGGAAGAAAAATCCCAAGCTGCAGCACGACAACGCTCACTCAAGAACATTAAAAAAACCCCTAAAACTGGGATGTAACAACAAATGTTTGCCAAAGACACTTTAAATTAACAAACCCAACCCGGAGAAGCACAAGAGGAAAAGCACCATAACTGTACCCTCAAGGAGTCACTTCCATACCTTCTCTGAAGGTGCAAAATTTCTTCTTCACTGGTCCAAAATTCTCATCATTGGCTATGGCAGGGTCTTCCAACACCTTTTTCTCTACATACACTATCATATTGTTCTCCTTAGGAAAGAGACAATAAGTTTGTTATTGATGGCTTAGAATGCCAACATAGCTGACTCTCCCCATGGTTTGCTTTAGTCTAAAACATCTAAATAACATTTCACAGCAGTGCTCTGCACATCTTGGTTGCTCTTCCCTGGGTGGTTCTAACTCTCAAGAGGGTTTTGCAGCATGCACAGACCGTGTAATAAATTAAAGTGCAGCCTGGAATGCAGATGACACGGAGCAGAACCACTGCTGTGTTTGGTCAGGGCTTCAAAGCTCTTGAATATCCAACTCCCTGTCATTTGGAACTGCACAGAGGAAGGTTTCACTTCACTTCTTTGGGGGTTTTAAGCTCTGTGCTTGAAATACTTCAGCACTGATCCTGAGCTCTGAAGCAGATTTTATTATATCCAGTGGCAAGGAGTGTGAAGGTTTATCTGCACTTTTGTAATTCTGCACATTAAACACAACCAGTGACTCAGAGAGGTTTAGATACAACGTTTTTTATGGTAAAACTGGAGTTTCCCCTCTCACTACCTCGGTCAGGTACACACAAAGCTCCTTGAAGGGCTGCAGCAAACTGGCATCCCGGATCTTCTTGATCACCAGGACACTCTTGGGGGGTTTGTTCCACGTCAACCGCTGGCTGGCTGGATCCTGGATGTGCCTGCAGGACAAAGACCCCCCAGAGTCACCACCTTCTGACCTGATCTGTCAGTGATACAGGTAAACCCCACAGTAACAATCCCTCAAGCACAGCTGCACGTGGTCCTGGCAGGAGAGGCAGAGAAATGCAATAATTCACGTTGCAAGGATGGTTCTGAAAGCAGTCAGTGCTCTGATCCACCAGGGTAACACAGGGTTCAGGTGTGGTAACTCCTGGCCCTGCTGCCACGGGAGCAGCATGTGCAAGAAGGACAGAAGCACCACAACTGCTCTCAGACCAAACTCCCCCACTGACACCTCCCCTGCAGTTTGTTCCAGTGCTCTCCCCTCTTCAGCCGACCCAAAACAAGGGCAAACATTCAATTAAAGCATCAGAAAAAGCTGCAGCACAATTATTTTTCCCCATCCAGCACTGCAAGTCAAACAGCTTAATGTAAATTTAAAATTCGTTCCATTTTAGTGCCCATATCCTACATCCATCAGAAACTAAGTTAATGCAGGAGTCTAATATCAACAACACTGACAAGAACTGAAGTTTGCAGCACTGATTTCACTGGAGAAGCCCAGAACCAGTTCCATCTTCACTCAGACAGAGGCCAGGCTGCCTGTGTTGAGCTGTACTCACCAATTCCACGGAGTTCTACCACAAGAAACGTTACTCATAACACCCTTTAAGATCTTCATGTTTCTCTCCAGGAGTCAGGCAAATGCAACAGCTCCATAAAAAAAGTAAAAGGCTGAGGTTTTTATCACCTGTTAATAAACTGTGGCCTCAGAAGAAAACATTTGGCTCTGAAAAATGTTGAAGTGTTTCAATCAGTCCCAATAAAAACGCTGTGAGGCTTCCCAGAAAAATCCCCTGGAAAACGTTTACTCCGGAATCTTCAGAGGCAAGACTTCACCAGGAAAATCCCATCTCAAAAAAGAGCTTAAAAAGCAGGTATTTGACTTCCCCTTTCTCTCCAGAGCACAAGCACTTGATCCTTTTTTCCCCGAGGGCTCACTCAGTTCATCGTAAGAGCCCCCATAAGGCAGCTCTGCCAGCTCTGGTGCTGATGCTCACACTGACAGAGACACCCAGACCCTCCCTAGACATAAAAACTGTGATTTTCCGCTAAAAAGTTCCTTCCAGTGAAGGGAGTTTAACGATATTATCGCTCAGACAAGAGAAAAAAAAAATAAAAAAGGTTTTGCTTGTTTTTAGAAGAGCCAACAAAACCCTGGGCGCAGCAAGAAAAGGAATTTACAGTTTGGTCCTCAAATAGTCCTTCAGTTCAAGCACCTTCGCTCCCCCCAGGCAGCTTTCTCCTGGCACATGTCACCTGCAGCCTCTGCACTCCAGAGCTCCTGTCACTGGAATTATATCCCTTGTCCTGGGCCAGCCCCTGGGGAGGAGCTGCTCCCACAGGCAGGTGGGGAAACACAGCCCAGGCGGGGCTTCAGCTGAGCCCAGCTCTGCACCAGGAACCAGGAAACTCAGGGTTCCATCCAGGAGAGATCCGAGTCACACCCTCCTGGGGGAGGGTTTGGGGACCACCAGTGTGATGAGAACATCACTGTGTGTGAGGGGAAGGGTTTGGGGATCACCAGTGTCCTCAGGACATCACTGTGTGTGAGGGGAAGGGCTTGGGCAAGTAAATATTGACTTAAATACCTCACACTTCACGGAGAGAGCAAAGAAATAAAACCTTCTAAAGGGGCAAAAATCATGGTTTTTCCCAGAACGGTTTGGGATGGGAGGGAACTTAAAGGCCCTCCCATGGGCAGGGACACCTTCCACCATTCCCAGTGGGAAAGCAAACTTCTCTTTGCCCCACAAGGAGCACGGTGCCCTTCACCTGAGGAGCACTTACATAATGGTTTTAGGGTTTTGCAGCATGCAGGCCTTTGGTCCAAACGTGGTCACTGGGCATGGTCCGTGCAGGGAGCGCGTTCTCCTGGAGGGACAAAAAAACAAAAATCAACCAGAGAGAGGAAAAACCAAATCTGAGGACAAACTGGGCACGTTTGGCCCCACAGCCACCCAAACCACTTCCCTGGAACAGCTGCACTAAGAAATGCAGGGCAAAGTACATTTCTTAACCCTGCCTTTGTTGCCACCGTTTCATCTGGCACGTGTTAACTCTCACATCTCGAGTGTCTGCACCGGTCCTGTGTGACACCAGGCCCACTGCTGCAGGCACAGCAACAATGCCTTTATTCCCCTCTGTTTCTTGAAGCACTACACCTTACCTAAGAGTTCACATCCTCAGAATGGCTGAATCTGGTGTAAATACACAGAAAATGGCTCGGTGAGGGCTCTTCATGCACGTGCATCATCAGGTCTCCCTCCCAGCATGTGCCCTGCCATTTACAGCGAGATCTCCAACACCAAGGCAATTCCTTCAAGTTCTTTTGCCACTGTCAGGCCACAGTGAATCATTTAAAGGCCTGTTTTGTTGTTTTAATCTTGGCACTCAATAAATTAACGAAATGCAAACCCTTCAGTCCTAAGGCACACGGAAGTATCTGCAGTACCAGGCTGTGGCTTTGAACAGGTTGGAAAAAAATGCTGTTTTTTCCTTGTTTATTCCTATATGCCTCCTGTGATCTTTGCCTTCAATAAGCAGCAGCTCTGAGGTGTCATTTATGCTCAAAATGAACACAGGAGAACACAGGGTTACTCCTGGCTCCAGGGTGAGATTATCTAGAGCGAGTCAGAACTCACCTCCCTCCCACCTCCCTCAAGCAAATCTGGAAAGGGGAGCAAAACTTAACCATGGAACTGTTGAAACATTCTGTGAGTGCTCCTAGAATTATTCCATTAAAAAGAAGGGGGAAACATGCCTTTCCTGTGCTTAATTCATTTACCCTGCTGCTTGGCAGCAACAATCATTACTGCACTGCCTGCTATTGTGTGTGTTATAAAGCAGCTCAGGCCAGCCCTGTGACTCAACTCTCAGAGCTAAAAAAACCCCTCAGAAATCTAATAAAAATCAGAAGCAGCTCACAGGTTACAAATCTATATAACTGAGGAATAACAGCAACATCCCATTTGTTCCATGCCTAACGAAACGTGAGTGCCCAAGATCCGACTTCCAACCACCAAAACAGAAATCGCATTTGTTTCTAAATGATTTTTTTTTCTCCATCTGTAAGGCTAACCCAAGTCAGATAAGAGCATTACTAAGTGTTTCATAAAGTTTACCTTATTTACATGGAAGCAGAAGAATGAGCAAGGGCTGGCACAAGGAGGGATTAATGTGTGTGCCAACACGGCCCAGGGAGTGATAAAGTCTCTCTCCACCGGTGAGCAATTACACTGGAAATCAGCAGAGTTAAATAACACCCTGGCACGGCATCACCTCCCACTTCTTCCCCCACTCAAGATAACTGTCATCTTTTGCCTTCTTTCAACACAGGTCGTTATTCCAGGCCCCTCCCAGCGACTGGAATTCTGTTCCCACATTAAATATCCACGTCCGACCTTCGGGCCGTCCCGGCGATGAATCGATACCTGCTGTAACTTTTCACTGAGATTTCACTCGGGTTTATAATTTATCAGCCCGTGCACCACTCAATAAAATGTCTGCACCGAATTTAAAGCTGTTTGTAGTCAGTCTCTGCCACGAATGAGCAGCAATGCCCTGGAAATCATCCATCTTTTAGGAAAATCTGCCTGTCAGCTCGGAGCAGATGGGCAGCTCCCTCCATCTGAACACTCCAGAGGAAGCCTGAGAGCACTTCCTGGCAGTCTTGTGACAATTTAGCCCTAAACTGAAGACTGAGAATGACTGCAGAGCATCTTAATGCAGAGAAACCTCGGAAACAATGACCCCAACCCAAACCACCCTGCACAGGGGGTCCACAAAGATTACTTGTGGCTGGAAAAGCACTTATTTAGCCAGAAGATAATACACAACAACTTGGACCACGTGGTCTTTTACACAGGCTGACTGAAGTCTGCGTTCATAAAGGCTGAAGTGGAGAAGAGGAACCCCCCCCCCCCCAGTTTTACAGGATGATTTAAACACAAAGTCCTGTTTATTGACTACACAGAGCCCTCCACAGCTGGGACAGAACAGCCAGAGCAGAGCCCTCAGCAAACCCCTGCCAGCAGCATAAAATACACTCAACTGCACACACAGAGTGGATTTTCCTAACCTTGCAGCCTCTTCAGATCGAGGTTTCAGTTTGCCTCCCTTCCCCCTGGGATGTGCAGCCTCACCCACCCATGCTCTGCCTCCCAAGGACATTCCTACCAGCAAGGCAGGACCTCTGGACGGCATTCCATGGGAACTCCTCCGAGGCTCTGCCCGTGCTCTGGAGGCTCACAGGGCCAGGGAGGTGAAGTTCTGCTGTGCCTCCCACCACAGCAGCCCCACTGCTGCCCCAGCACTGCTCAATATTTGCAGAGGGTCCAAAGATCACGGAATCAGAAGTTCCATCCCTGCCCACATGACAAGGGCCTTGCAGCGAGAGTGGAAATTTGGCTCAGGGGATAACTGGGCGTTTCTCGGGGCTGGGGAAGTGTCTGCAAACACCAGCTGAACCCAAACACTCCCCCAGCTTTTTAACACACAGCCCTAGGGCTCTGCCCAGTGAAAAAGAAAAGCAGCACCAGAGCATTTGTAAAGGTTTGCAGGAGCGACCCTGCTGCTGATTTACATTATTATATTCTTTTTCTCAGTGTACCCCCCGTCTTTGCTTTGCAACACCATTTTACGGTTACATAAAAGGAGTGAGAATTAAACTCCAGTGCTAAATGGACCCATTTCAGCAGGGACAGGAAGGAGCAGGAGCTGTACCGGAATTCTTTGGTGCTTCCCAGGGCTGGGGAGGCCGACAGGCTGCGGGACTTGGAGCGGCCCCGGCTGGTGTTGCCCCACTCCTCGTCATCGTGGCACGCTGAGCAGTGATAGCCAGAGTCTGAGCTGCCCTCAGCCTTGCTGGCACACAGCTTGTCCCGACTCATCTCCATCCTCCAGGAAGCGAGGGAGCCTCAGCCAGAGAGGAATCCAATCCCTGGGGAAAAAACACAGGGAGAAAACAAAAACCTCAGTATTAGCAAAGCTAATGAAAAAGTACCCCTGTCAAATAATGAAATAGGAAGAGCCATAATAAACCTGAGCTCTTCACAAAAATTAATTCCGAGCTGGAAGAAAGTTCTTAACTCGCCTGTGACAAAATGTGTCCAAAACAAACAGGACAAAATAAGGACAAATGTGAAGTATTTCACTTCCACAAAATAACCAGCACAAACAGAAGATAAACAGCTGACAAAAAGCCCAGCTTTGCAGAAACAAACCAAACCAAAGCCAAACCAAAACCCAACCCTGAAATAACGGCAAAAGTTCCCGAAATCTCGTGTGTAAGTTCCCACTACTTGAAGCAAACAGAACCAGCCTTATCAGAATATAAATAGAAACCAACTTTCAGGGTATGGACAAACACCAAACCATAAACAAATAGTATCCAAGGAGAGCAGCCCAGAGGAGCAGCACATTCCTCAAGGCAGCTGATTCCAAGATGGAGGGGGGGGGGAAAAGTTGGTTCCTTAAAACCCTGCGGATGTTTTCGTCGCTTCGGATGCACTTCCCGCTTTGCCCCACGCAGAGAGGAACTGAGGGTTCCTGAAACCTTTGCCGTGGGCTGTGGCTCTGGAAAACTGTCACAGATGACATCCTCCCCAGTTCTACAGGCACTGCTTCCCAGCATCCCAACTCCCAGACAGCAAACCCATCACCAAAACGCAGCTGCCGTTCCAGGCCGAGCCCTGAACGAGACAGAACCACCAGCTGATCAAATCAGAAAGGACTTTTGCTCCTGCTGCAGCTCAGCCACCGCCACAGAGAGGTACAATTACTGCCAGCATTAATAATTCCTAACATCCTGCACTTGCAGAGGCATCAGTGCTCGGCTGTGGGCTACTCACTGCTCGGCGTCACCCGTGACCAGCGCTTGGGAAATACTCATTTCAACACATTCATAACTCCTCACAACTAAAGACTGGGAAAAATGGGCCTCTATTTCGAGACAACTGAAGCTCAATGTAAAGTCTGTGCCAGTTAGGTGACTAAGGGGGGGAGGGCAGAGAACAATAATTTACATAATAAGCAATAAGCAAGGAGCGTTTCCATGTGACTTGGATTGAATTATGTTCATCTGACAGATGCTGACAGTAAAGAAAATCAGATTAGGACAAAACTGGAAGTAAGAAGGTACACAGACCTACTAAATACAGCCTAAGAACTCCTTCCATGTAATACTTTCCAATTCAGGCTGTTTTAACTACAGCTTGCACCGTGCACTGTTTAATTAACATTCCCTCACAAGACCTTTATTAAATAAGCAGACTTGACATAAGGACAAAACTATCACTGAGCAGCTCCCAGGACTGGATCCAGAAACTTTCAAACACATGCTAACAAAGCAGTGAAAAGGCTGCTCTGGTTTCAATCATGTCCAGAATTTTAAAAATTTAAGAAAAGAAAACCCTAAGGAAAACAAGCCTTTAGATGCCCAGCATTGCAGAACGAAGGACAACCGAGGAAGGGTCAACATTTAATATTAAATATCTGTGACAGTGACCCAGGAACCAGGTGAATCACCTCTCACACGGATCCAACTGCAGTCTTACTGGAGTTTCCCATCTCAAATTTCTCTGTCACCGTGAATTAACACTCCCATGAAGAGGTTTCATCAAACCGTCTTTATATAGAGGGGCACGACACCATCAAAACCCCAAAAGGAGCATAAAGCTGCAAATCACCAGGGGA